CACTGCCAGACTGTTTCGTCGGACTTTCACTCACTCATCAGGAGGTTGGATATTTGTGTGTGTGTTGAGCATTCACCACGGCAGTCCCTATTCCACCCAGACAAACAGATCCAAAATCAAAGCATATTGATTATTCAATCCTATTACAAACAACCGGCAAGATCCAACTGGTTTGTTTGATGTCAGACCACCCAACCATGAAACAGTTTCACCTCAATAGCAAGCAACGTGAAATACAATAGCTGCATGTAAACCCCTTTCTTGATTGTGTTCACATTCGCTTGCTTCGGAGTACCCCTTTCATTTGATCTTGCAGCTACCCCTTTACTGTGCCTCTCATGCACAAGCCTCGCCACATTGATTGTGGTTGAGTGTGAGCCGCCCACATCCCCGTGTGCCATAACGGCCCACTTGCACACTATGAAAGGAGGCAGAGCAAAGGCGCAGGTACACATATTCGTGTTCATTTCTTCTCAGATCTTCAACTTATATTTTGTCTGTTCTCGTAATCATGCTCATTCGTATGTACTACTTGTAGTACACAAGAGGAGGGAGGAACGAAATGGGAGGTGGAGTTCTGACAGGGTTCGAGCCGCTGGGGCAGACCACTTTTGAATGGCACATGAGGCCAGTCAGTCTGCGGGTTGCATAAGATTTGAGCAGTTGTTGCCTATAATGGTCGCCACCTCCACAGACCGGGCAGGACCGGTTGGGTGTGGCCTGTGGAAGCACCGCATCCAATTCTCAGCCACAGTCACTGCATCGAATGGCACGGCGTAGACAGATGTCACAGGCTACATGGCTCCTACATGCTGGGAACGCAGAGGCACATCCACCACTATTGTAGAGAGATTGCCATTCCAACCCGTCTACGAATTGGACATGACATGTCAAGTTGCCGTACATGAGTGCAGTATACAACGTCTGAACGTCATCATACGTATAAAGACAAACGCTTGCCCGGGCTGTCCCTTCATAATCTTCACAGAATCCCACGGGCTCGTCAGCAGAGTTGCTCAGTCCAAGAAATCACAGGAAACACTTCTTTTGCAAACTCGTTAATACAATGATTACAATCTCACAAAGGTTCCGCTGTACACCGACTCATCAGTGCTTTTCGGAATGCTCTGCAATCTTTCACCGTATTGATTCCCGGATACTTCACCAACTTCGTGCAAACCACATGCTAGCTGAATCTCCGGTGGGTCATCACAAAGCAGCATGGAGCAAGTTCCTTCGGTTTCCTCGGTATTTATTCCTTCTCTAAGGGTAGACGACGATGGGGGAGATGATCCAAAGCAAGAGCGTTCAGCTGCTGCAGGATTTGGTCTGCAAAAGCTCGCCCTGTTGGAGACAACTTATCAGTACAGCACTCTGTAGGTGGTTCATATGGTAATCTATTTTCCTCCTCAGGCTGCTGTGCACGTCCACAAGGAAGAAGGAATTCCAACTGCGGTTACAGTAGGTGTATGACCAGCACCACACGTGGGACATGCTAGGAAACGATGTGGCGAACGATGGCACCGGAGTGTCCATGCAGTAGAGACACCTACTTTTTATGACAGCTTCCTGGAAACGTTGACGACACATGGCATGTTGCTGACATGTCATCAGCAAAGAAGGCTGACGTGCGCAATTATTCAAGCATGGCAAATCAAGGCCACAACGGCATGCCGGGCAAGTAATCAACGGGTGGGGGGGGGTGAGTACAAGACAAAGGATTGCAGTTTTCGTTCGTGTGTGTGCGTGTGTGTGTGTGTGTGTGTGTGTGTATGTGTGTGTGTGTGTGTGTGTGTGTGTGTGTGTGTGTGTGCTGTCTCTTATACACATCTAGATGTGTATAAGAGACAGCGATTAGGGGGTTGGGGGGGTGAGTACAAGACAAAGGGATGCAGTTTTCATGGCAGAGGCTGGCAGTGACCATCCCTTCAGTGTTGGGAGCAGAGGCTATGTCGAGCACATGCTAACCTGACTGTACCTGTGCGACAACACAATGGGAGGAGGGCACAATCTCCATCCCCAGGACAGGTCCCTTCACTGTTCGTGCTAGAATCCGTCCGATCCACACAGGGGGGGGATGCCGCCTCACCATGCACAGGGGAAGGAGGAGGTTCAGCCAGATTGCTCTCTGGAGGCGATAGGGTTTTACGAGTGCTCATCGGCATACTGCTCCTCATGGACGAGCCAGACCGAGTGATGTTCTGCCGCTTGGTGATAGAAAGAGTCCATATTTCCCGCTGCCTGCACCCTACCGCCATTGTCCCGTACGGTCCACGAGTTATCCGCAAAGGTAATGCATGCCCGAATATTCGGATCCATGCCTGGCACATGATTTGTAATGCATGCCCGAATATTCTGATCCATGCCTGGCACATGATTTTCAGGAGTAGGCTGGAGTTGTAGTCGCCTGCCCATAAATGCCATCGACAGGAATTCCATGTTCACGCCAGGTGCAGTGCTGGTGTCCTCCGGGCAGACGGCACAGCGCTTTTCTTCTATCCAGCGGACAACGTCTGCAAAATCAGAAACAGTATAAGGGTTGCAATTGTAGGCAAGGAGACGCACATTAATGGCATAGTACGCACAGCGCCCTCACTGCAGCACTATGACATCATCCAATTCTGCAGGTTGTGCCGCAGCGGGAGGTTCATCCAATTCTTCAGACTGCATGGCAGGCGGAGATTAATTGCAGTCTTGAACATATCTGTCACGTTCCGCTGACTGTACCATGCGCTCCGGCGAGGTATCTTCTGGAATCGAGGGCTCCATCAGCTGATCAGAAGGTGGCGCACTTTCATTTGAGGCAGGGGAGCATGCAAGGTCAGGTGGATGAGGAATAGATAGGTCAGATGCGGGAAGCGGAGGTTGATAAGTCGCACTTGTGCTCAAAGTGGCTGCTAGTCCTGCAAATGCTGTGTGTCTGGTGCACACGCAGGCCTGCAGCACTGAAGACATCATCGCCACACTGCAGGCATCGGACTCAATATGTACTACGCGTGGCTAGTGTATATCGGGAGCGACGATGTCGTTCCATACGGTTGCGAGCACGTCCTCGGAGCAGATCTCTAACCCCTGCAGGGGGTATGGTATTCAACCTGTTCCAGGACAGACGAGGCCGCTGTCTTGGAGGCGGCGGCAGAGACGGGGAACACCGAAGAGGCGTTTGTAACGATTGATCCGACGGTGGATGTATCTGCCGACGGGGCCTTCGTGACGGCTGATCTGACCATGAATGTGCTGATGATGAGGTCAATGAAGAAGGGGAGGCATGTGATGTGGAGGATGAGGAGGAGCAGGCGGAGGAGGCAGACGAAGAAGTGGAAAACAAAGAAGAGGCAGATGACTCTGAGGGGATGATGTAGTAGTAGATGTTGGCGGGGGAGGTGGTGGTGATGATAGTGGGGGCAGTGGTGGT